AGGGGCACAACAGCATCTTTTCCAGAAAGGGGAAGCAAGATGGTCAGTGCATGTTCCCCTTTCCTGTTGGTCAGCCCACAGGTCAGGCCGCACCAGCCATCTCCCTCCACTACCGTTTCCTGGTAGCAGCTCCAGGCTGCCTTCTGTGTTATTCATTAACTAGGCACTAATATTTCTGTTTACCCATCTGTCATCCTGCTTCAGGGCAGGGGATTCAGAGGAGCACTGCGATCATGCAGCCACCCGGATGCTCTTGGATGAGGCCCAGCCAGCTACACTTAGCTAGTGTTCTTTGTGTCAAAGCCCAGTGCAAGAGCCTTATACTTTATGTAGCCCGGGAAAGATAAAGTTTTCTCAAGGAGGATATGTTCTGTCTGCCATCTGAGCACATGCCTGTGAGATCCAGCCAGAGATGTGTTCAGGCTGGCTTATGAGAGCCTGTTATCAATATTTCTTGCCAAACCCATGTTCAGTATCTTCACAGTGTTAGAAATTAACCCTGATGGGAGTGTATATGCCACAGAAATTTGCAAGTGTTACAAATCAATCTTTCTAACCTCCTACCCCCTACTCCTTGCTACCAAGAGATAGTTCTTAAATATTTTCCAGCATATCACTGGGGACATCTGTTTACTAAGTAGATGCATGACAATTTGTAAGACAATTATTCTTGAAAAGCCAATTCCAGTGGAGGAGGAGACAGTCTCCCTTTCAGGGAAGTGCTAGACCGATGAAAACCCTGCATGCTTGCATAGTACTCTATTCTTTCCTTCCCTCCCTTCCTTCCTTCCTTCTTCTCCTTCACCCTGCGTAGAGTGCAGTGAGTGTCATAGCTCACAGCAACCTCAAGCTCCTGGGCTCAAGAGATCCTTTTGCCTCAGCCTCCTGAGTAGCTGGGACTACAGGTGCCTGTCACACAAGTGGGGCTAGTTGTCTATTTTTAGTAGAGATGGGGTCTCGCTCTTGCTCAGGCCAGTCTCAGACTCCTGAGCAAAGGATCCTCCCACCTCTGCTTCCCAGAGTCCCTGGATTACTCATTGGTTTCTTAACTCTCATGTGCATTATCTCCTTCATCCTGACAACTGTCTATCTCAGTGGTAGACACAGCTGCCAGACTGATCTTCTTAAAATGGAAATCAAATCACTCTCCTTTCTTGCTTCACACTCTTGAATGGCTTCCAGAAGCTCTTAGAATAAATTCAGACTCCTTTCTGCTGCCAAAGACTTTGGATAGTCTGGTCCCTGCTCACTTCAGTGACCTCATCTTCTATCACTCTCTCCCTGGTTCACAGTATTCTAGCCCAACTGGTTTTCAAAGTGTGGCTCCCAGGCCAGCAGCATCAGCATGGCCTGGGAGCGCTGTGACAGCTGATCTCGTGTGTCTGTTGCACTGGATGATGAAGTGCCCAGATATTGGGATAAGTCTTATTTCTGAGTGTCTCTGTGAGGGCATTTCTGGATAAGATTAGTGTGAACTAATAGACTAATGAGAGCAGATTGCCCTCCAGATGTGGCTTAGCCTCATCTAATTCACTGAGGGCCCAAACAGAACAGAAAGGCAGAGGAAAGAGGAATTTGCTCTTTGCCTGACAGCTTGACTCTTGCTCTTAATGAAGAAATGCGCTGATCTATCAAGTGACTGGATGAAGTTCAAATACATGTAAGTAAATTAGCCCCTAAAACTTCATCCTGAAAGGCTCAGATGAGGTCCAGTGATTTTCTTATAACCTCATTAAAGCAAAATGACTTCATTTTATACTCTCCTGGTTAGCAAGAGCACTCGAGTTGCTGAAGAACCAGAGTCTCAGAGTTGGAAGGGGTTTGGCAGTTCACTGATTGGGTCAGCCCTTAGCAGGTGTGTGTTTCCTCAGTGTCCTGGAATGGGTGTTTGCTATCTTCTAGTTGAATATTACTGGAAATTGAGAGACAACTACTCTGCTGAGATAGTTCTGTTTAAACAGCCCTAATTATTTATAACATATTTGCCTCTTCCATCCACCATCTTTGCTCATCCCTGTGGAGCTACACAGAAATGCACCTTCCTTACAATAAACCCGGTCCTAGCCACATATTCAGCTCTCTCACCTCCTTCTCTCTTTCTATTTGTGTGGTTTTTTTTTTTTTTTGACTGAGTCTCACTTTGTCATCCTCAGTAGAATGCCATGGTGTCATAGCTCACAACAACCTCAAACTCTTGGGCTCAAGTGATTCTCCTGCTTCAGCCTCCCAAGTAGCTGGGACTACAGGCTCCCACCACAATGCCCAGCTATTTTTTTAGAGATGGGGTCTTGCTCTTGCTCAGACTGGTCTGGAACTCCTGAGCTCAAGCAGTTCACCTGCCTCAGCCTCCCAGAGTGCTAGGATTACAGGTGTGAGCCACTGTGATCAGCCCTCCTTCTCTTTTTCAACATTTTTGTTTCTTTTTATTATAAGAATTTTATTGATACACCATAATTGTATGTATTTATGGGGTACATGGGACATTTTGATCATGTGTGCTGAAAGAAGGCAGCATTGGGATTCAGGAAGACCTGGATTCAACCCCCCCTCACACTCATCGACCTTGGGAAGTTACCTCAGTTCTCTGAGGCCCTTTCTCTGGCATAGTGCCTGGTATTTAACATGCTCTAGGATTATCATTACTACTATTACTATCCAATTTTGTATCTCCAAAACATTTTGGTTGCATTTTCTGGGTTTGATTCCCTGAACTAGTGGCCCTTTAAAAATTGTGTTGTCTCAGTGCTGAAGGTGCTACTAAGTGGAATGGGGTTATTGTCAATTTGTCTAGACTCTTTCTTTTAATGTCACCCAAATCAAATTAGCTTTTTTTGACAGCTATACCACATCACAGACTCGTGATATCCCACAGTCAGCTGAAAATCCCAGATTTTTTCTTACATAAACCAAACCATTCTATAGTTGGCTACCTAATACATTATTTCCATCACTTTTAATATTTACTTAATTCTATTTCTGGTATGTGAGGGTATATGGTATTTCTCATGGCTTGATATCTTAGAACTAAATAATACTCTGTAATTGTTTGGTGATTTTATATATGCAGTCTCATTTAGTGGCTCATTCTTGTCATCCCAGCACTCTGGAGGCCGAGGTGGGTGGATCACCTGAGATCAGGAGTTTAAAACCAGCTGGAGCAAGAGCGAGACCTCATCTCTACTAAAAATAGAAAAAACTATCTCGGTTATGGTGGTATCTGAGGTCCCAGCTACTCAGGAGGCTGAGGCAAGAGGATCACTTGAGTCCGGGAGTTTGAGGTTGCTGTGAACTATGAGCACACTATGGTTACCCAGGGTGAAAAAGAGAGACTCTGTCTCGAAAAAAAAAAGTTCTTAATACAGTAAAAAGTACTAAAAAATTGTAAGTACTGAGAATAAGCCTGGGAGGTAGAAATTATCCTCATTACTTTGATTTGGATATTGAGGCTGGGGGGGTATGACCCGCTTCAGGTTCTCCAGCTAGTAAGCCTGACCACCACTGAGGTCAGGACTCCTGTGACACCTGTCCAGCCTTCTTTTGAAGAAGGAAGAGAGAAAATTGGCTTTCAGTTGGGTGACAATAAGGCAAGGCTTTTTGGAGAAAGCGAGTATTGAGTGGGATTTAGTAAGAGGGGAGGAAGCAAGCAATCAGAAGATGGGGGACCGCGGGATTAGGGTGAGTGGGACATGTAAGCAGTAAGGGTCATTTCTTGGGCAGATTTCTTGGGCAGATTAGGCTCCTGAGCTAGGACAGAGACTCCTGACCCCAGCTACCCCTTCTGTTAGCCGGTTTGGGGTGGCTGTCTGTATTATTTTTCACATCTCCATATGTAATTCTAATGTATAGCCTGGGTTGCAGACTCCTAGGCTAGGGGGTAGTGGCAGTTAACGAGAGAGGATGGACTCAGAGTCCTAATTATGGAGAAATGAGTTAGGCAGGTGGAATGGGGAAAGGAAGGGGGCACAAAGCAGATGAAAGAATAGTGTGACCTGAATTCCTGAGAGGAAAAATTTTGACAACAGGGAAATTGCAGGTTTCTGAGCAGGAGGGTAGTATGTTTTAAGCTCCCGTGGAAAACTGATAACAGAGTCGGGAGGCAGCCAGCTTTCTCTTTCTGAGGCCAGCCTCCCTACACAGGATCCCACCAGCGCCCGCACACACTTTCCCACAATACATCTGGTTTCAAATGCATCACCTTCCCCTCTTCTGCCAAGTCTACTTCCCTCTCCTATGCTTGCAGAAGTGTAGCAAAAATTGTGGACACTCACTTCAGAGTTTTATAACCTTTATTTTCAATCTGCCAGACCAGGCTGTTTTTCCCTGGGCTAGCCAGCATCAGTCTCTGGTTGCTGAGTACCAAGCCACATCCTGGCCCGTGTAGGGTGCCAGGAGGAAGGAGATGAGACCCAGACCTCAGGCGGTTCCTGATTTAATAGGAGAAACAAGATAATGCATGAAAATGAATGGCTCACACTTTAAAAGCAACGGGTCAAACCTGGATTGCAGCAGTTGGGACAAGTCCTCCCTGCTGGTCTCCAGCTCAGAACCATGTGGACTTTCTTTGACCTTATTTAGTATTTCTCTTCCATCTGGGTCCCACTGATTTCTTTCTGCCATTTACAGTGAGACTAGTGTCCAGAGGTTGCTTCTACATTTGTAGCAGTACTTTAGGACTCTTTGCTTCAGCACGGTCACCACTAGATGCCAGCTACCTTGCTGGGACTGAATTCCTTTGAGCTACGTTCCTTCCAAAATTCTAGCCAACAGTGCTTTTCTGCTTGGCCATTTCTTCTTACAACATGGAACTATGCTCCTTCGGGAAGGAAAATTCAATCAGAGAAGGATACCAGGCTGGTGGGGGGGGGGGGTTTCAAAGCCTCCCTCATGGACTGAGCTTGAGGATTCCTGAATCTGGACAGGAACCCTCACGTCACCTGTCTCCCAGGCTGCCCAACCCCTGTGTAGGGCAGAGGAGCACCTCCAAAAGTCCCGAGCAGGCTCTAGTCCGTGGTGAAGTCTGAACTGGGCGCCCCGTCTGTCTGGCTCACACCCTTGTCTGCATTGGTCACCTCTGCAGTCTCTTTGCCTCTGCGTCCCAGCAGCGAGGAGCCCTGCCTCCGCAGCACCTGCAGCCCTTTCCCGAAGGTCCTGCGCACTGCTGCAGAAGAGAAGTAGAAAAGCACGGGGTCCAGACTGGCATTGAGGGAGCTGAACACCACGGCTATCGCCCGCCATGAGGGGCTTTGTTTCATGTGAAACCCCACCAGGTGGGACACGTTGTAAGGCCCGAAACACACTAGGAAATTGAGGAGCGTCACAATAGCCAGCCCCACAGCCCGGCGCCTCCTCTGGGCGCCCACGTGGGGCTGAGAGAGCATGATCCGCACGAAGCGCCAGTAGCAGAAGACAGTGACGGCCATGGGGATGAAGAAGAGCACCAGGCACAGCTCCAGCCGCACGGGCAGCACCAAGCTCAGCTGATCCTGGGTGAAGTTCTCGTAGCAGGTAGTGTCGTTGACACTTCTGACCGGCTGGGTTGAGTTCAAGTACTGCACAATGATCACGATGCTGCAGTGACCAAAGGACATGATCCAGGCCACCAGGGCAGCAATGATCCCATACACAGGCCGGCGGGAGAGCTTGTACTGCACAGGGAAAGCCACTCCCAGGTAGCGCTCCACGCTGATGCCCGCCAGGAGCCACGTGCTGCAGTAGATGCTGCTGTAGAAGCCGAAACCTGTGAGGGCGCAGACTATGTCAGGCAGATACCAGTAGAAGTTGTAGGCGGCCTCAATGATCTTGAAGGGCAGCAGCAGCAGCAGCAGGAGGTCCGCCAGTGTCAGGCTGAGCAGGAGGATGTGCACAGGCGCTGGCTGGGGCTGGCGGACGCGCCCGACGAAGGCCCGCAGGGCCAGGAGGTTGGCAGGGAGACCAGTGAGGAAGATGATAATGTAGGCCGTGAGGATCAAGGGGCTTAGCCAGGAGGGCAGCATCCTGGAGGAGGGGGAGAAAGGGCAGGGTCAGGAGGCCTCACTCACAGCCTGCGGACCCCTCCTGAGTCAGGACATCCTCCCTGGAACTCTCCCCGGCCCAGCCAGTGCTTTCTGCTGCCACCACTGCATGCTCATATCACCTGCTGGAACTGCCCAGAGTAATTATTGACTTTGCCTTGGGCGGGATAATAAGCAGTAGTTATTATATTTGCCATCATGTGTCTCTGGGGGAGAACAAGCCTTAGCTTCCCAGGGGAATTCCCCCTCAGATTTCCCTGGCTTTTCTCCTTCCAGGAAGTTCCTGTTATCAGTTTCTAACTTTCTCAGTGGGAAACCTGACAGAGGGAGGGATTCCAGCAGGGACAGAGCTGCAAAGTGTGTGGCGGGATGACTAGGCTGTGAGGACCCACGTGCCCAGCCCCTAATTCCTGCTCCCCTTTCCTCTCCTGTTGCAGAATAGATCCTCCTTCACTTTGTCTACCTCTGTCCAACACTGGACTCTGGGGCTCTGTTGAAAAGGGGGAGCAGGGGAAGCCTAGAGAGGGGCAGTAGAGAGGAGGGTGAGCCAGTGTAGGCTGTTGGGGCTTGTCCCTGGGAGACTTTAGAGAGATTCAGAAAAGCCCACAGGCCTCCACTAACTCCTGGTGTTTGACTGTAAACAGAATTTCTGCTCTTAATGGGGTGACTCTGTTTCCACTTGGTTTGTAGCCCCTGCTGGCACCCCTCCGTCTCACCCCTCCAGCCTCTTCAGGGTTGGTTTCCTGGCCCTGCACACTAGCTCCTGTCTCTGAGCATGGCCCTTACATTCCGTGTCTGAGAGACGCTTGCCAGCCCCCCAGCAGCACCTTCCCCTCAAGTTCTGTTCCCGGCGGGCATCACTTCCCGGAGCACTAAGCTGGCTGCCTTGCCTTGTCTGTGTTCCAGATAGACGCCTCCTCGGGATTAGTCCTGAAGAGAAGTCTGTAAGCTTCTAGGAAAGAGGAACAGAGCTGTAGCCCCTGTTTCCTTCTATTTCACACAGGAGAAAATGGTGAGGAACCAGGCTGAGAAAGCTCTTATACCAGCACAGGCCACGTGACCAGAGCGAGGCAGGTCAGTCACTGAGCGCTGTTTCCTCTCAAACCCGCAGTAAAGGCCTGGGCATCTCGATTCTACAGCGTCTTGCTTTGACTTCCAAACACAGATTTTTCTGTCCCTAATTCTTGAATTCTTTTTTAAATCCTAGGCATTTTTCTCCCTTCCCGAGTCAGATTATTGTATCTTCTCTTTCCTAGGCAATTTCTTCTACAGTTCTACTCATTCTCAGGAAAGAGGTTTCCTGCTTGGTCTCTTGCCGTCTGTTCGTAACAGCTTTATTTTGCTCCCCTCGGCTGAAACAGATTAGTCTCCCAAGCCTGTGACTTGTTATGGTGGAAGTAATGTGGGATTTAGAGTCACGCAGATGTAAGCTTAAATCCAAGTCCCTTCCCTGTGACCTGGAGGGAGATTAATTTTCTGAACTTTATTTTTTTGAGACAGAGTCTCACTATGTCACCCTTGGTAGAGTGCTGTGGCGTCACAGCTCACAGCAACCTCAAACTCTTGGGTTTAAGCTATTCTCTTGCCTCAGGAGAAGCTGGCACTACAGTCGCCTGCCACAATGCCTGGCTATTTTTTGTTGTTGTTGTAGTTGTCCTTGTTGCTTGGTAGGCCCAGTCTAGGTTCGAACCCACCAGCGAGTGTGTATGTGGCTGGCAACCTAGCCACTGTGCTACAGGTGCCGAGCCTAATTTTCTGAACTTTAGCTCAGTCAGGTAAACGTGGGAATACTTACATCCCAGGATTTCTGTGCGAGTTCAGTGACTGCTGTGTATGTATAGAGCACACAGGCCAGTGCTTAGCACTTGGGGGATGCCCATACTCAGTCCTTCCTCTCAAGGCTGTGGGACGACTTCTTAGAGAGTGAGCCACTTGGTAAAATATCCAGGGGCTCAGGGCATAGACATGCCATCTTTCCTGGGAAAGCCCCAGGAATTCAGGAGGCCCGAGCCCAGGTGTCTACCTGGCTCTTTATAGAGAAGTGGTGCTCAGGCTCCCTTCCTTTCCCCAGCTATTCCCTCTCTGTGGGGGCTGGGCCCAACCTCTGAACCACTCTCGTTCTTTTCTCACTTTTCCCCCCTCTCTTGGCTGGGTAGCTCCAGCCTAGAAGCTCCTCAAAGACCTTTTGAAATATATACCCAAGGAAACAAGGATAGTGAGAGCCCATTTTCCTCTTGAGCTAGGGAACGGGTCTCTGTTTTGCCACCTGTACCCTGATCCCTGCTCATGTAATCCCCATTCTTTACCTAGGTCATACCTATTTCCTACCATTTTTTCATTCACTCATTCATTCATTCATTCATTCATCCTTTTTATGACCTAGAACCCTAGATCTACACATCTTGATATTTACCCTTGCTTTCTCTTCAGCTCTACTCTCTTCTAGAACAGAGGAGTTTTATGTATTTATGTCTTTGCCCCAGCACACATGTACACTTTCCAGATCAACAGGGAAACTCAGAAAGAGACCATTCTCTGTTGCTTGCCATCAAATTTATTTGGGTCATTTTGCTATGATTTTCTATAAATATTCACGGGCATCTGCATTTAATTACAAAACGGAAACTCACTGGGAAACAAGCCTTTTTATCTCTGCCTGTCCTTCCCCATTCCTTTCTCTGTCACAGCACTGGATGCTTATGTTGAAGATACCTCAGTTAAACCCCCTCTTCCACATTCATGGGAATTATGATGGTAACATAACAAAGAAATTTTTGAACTCATGATTCAGATGCCCACCTATATCACAGGAAAAGAAAGGCACCCTCTCAGGCTGAATTCAGAGAGATGAGCTTTTACCAAAGCAGTATCTTTCACAATTTCTTCCCAGTTCAGTTTCCTGTCGTCATCATTATAACTAGCTTGTCACAGGAAGTTGGACCCATTATCTGAAGTGATGTATAATCATGTTCTCCACTTCTGTATTTCTCAGTCACTGCTCAGTTCGCTGTAATCTGGGCTCTCACTGTATTACTACATTTAGTGGGTTTGTTTTTCTTCTGGTTTTATTAGTATTCGTCACAGTTTCCACACCCTTCTTGAAACGTTCTCTTTCCACGAATCCTGATGCTTTATGCGCTTCTGGTTTCCCTCCCTTTCCTTTGGTCACTTCTGAATTTCCTCTGCTCCTTCATCTTTCCCTGCACATAAACGTTGAGTTCCTTAAAACTTAGTTCTAGGTTCTTTCCTATTCTCATCCTTTGTTCTCTTCCCAGGCTATTGCGTCTGTTACCAAGCTCTGATTGCCATCTTCATGACACCAGATTTGGGACCTGCATCCTGGGTTTCTGTAAGCCTCACATCCACACGTGTATCTGCCTAGCAGACACTGCCATTTGGATGTCTCACAGGAATTCAAGAGTCAGTTTATCCAGCGCTAACCTCAGGTCTTCCCCAGCCAACTCAGCCTTCTTCCAGCCTTTCCTGTCTTAGGGCCATAGGTGTCTTCCGTGCCGTCCCCAGAACCATAATCTTAGAGTCAACTTTAATATAATCTTCTTCCTTGTCCCTATAAGGTAATTCAACACCCTCGTTTCTCATTGCCCACTCCCACCTTCCCAGCTCATTCCTTTACTTCTTTCAGATAGCTATTTGCTTCCCTGATTGCCTAGGCTGAGATGCATTCTCTCTTACAGGTTCCTACAGCATCTTTCACATTGCTGAATAGTATTTCGTTTTATGGATATTTCATTTTCTATTTATTCATTTACCTGTTGATGGACATTTGGGGGGTTGAGTTTTTAGTTTTTGACTAGTATGAATGCTGTGAACATTCTTGGTCTTTTTTCTTTTGGAGACAGGAGTCTCAGCTGTCACCCTGGGTAGAGTGCTGTGGCATCACAGCTCATAGCAAACTCCAACTCTTGGGCTTAAGCAATTCTCTTGCCTCAGCCTCCCAAGTAGCTGGGACTACCGGCTTTTTTGGTAGTAGTTATCATTGTTGTTAATCCACCACATTACCTGGCTTTTTTTGGTTGTAGTTATCATTGTTGTTTGGCAGGCGCGGGCTGGATTCGAACCTGCCAGCTCCAGTGTATGTGACTGGCGCTTTAGCCGCTGAGCTACAGGCACTGAGCCTCTTGGTTAGATCTTTGCATGGACATGTTTTCACTTCTCTTGGGCAAATACCTGGGAGTGTATTGGCTGGTTTGTATGACATGGTTTTTGTTTAGCTTTTTAAGAAGCTGCCAGTTTTCCAAAGTAGCTCTACCACTATGCATTGCCACTGGCAATGTATGAGCATTCAGTCGCTCCACATCCTCACTAACACTTGATATTTGTTAGTCTTAAATTTTAGTCCTTCTAATTATGGTTTCTCACTATGGTTTTAATTTGCATTTCCTTGACAACTGTTGAGGTCAAGCATCTTTTCAAGTACTTACCAGCCATCTTCATATCTTCTTTTGTGTTCAAATCTTTTGTCCACTTCAAAAATAGATTATTTTCATGTTATGAAATATTATTATTATTAATATTAGAGGTATAATGGCATGATCACTGCAGGCTCAAACTCCTGGGTTCAAGCAATTCTTTCACCTCAGCTTCCCAAGTAGTTAGGACTATAGGAGCATTCCATAGTGCCTGGCTCATTTTTCTAGTTTTTATAGAGATGGAGTCTCTACAGTGCCCATATGGTGTCGAATTCTTGGACTCAAGTAATTCTCTTGCCTTGGCCTCCCAAAGTACTGAGATTACAGGTTTGAGCTACTGTGCCTGGCCTATTTTCATATTAACGAGTTTTGAGGGTTCCTTATTATATCCTGGGCACTAATCCTTTGCCATCTGCATGTATCACAAATATTTTATTTCATTCTATGACTGAATTTTCATTTTCTTTTCTTTTTTTTTGAGACAGAGTGCCATGGTGTCACAACTCACAGCAACCTCAAACTCTTGGGCTTAAGTGATTCTCTTACCTCAGC